CTATGGGCTAAATCCCAAAATCTGTGCACTGATGTAAATACAGCTTTTTCCGTTAGACGGTGGAAAGCCGTTGGGGACAGACTGTGGGATGTGATCTCGCAAGGGGACAAAGCAGCTGTAAATTTAGCTACGACGTGGAGACAGCTTTATGATGTTTTAAGAGAGCAGAGGATGAAGCAGAAGGTGGAACGAGAGCCAGGGCAAGGCACGGGAGCTGGTGGGCAACAACAGATGGCTGAGGTTCGGTCTGGTGCTGTGCCCCTCCCTGGGGGACAGCCTGCTGGAGTCGCTTCCGTGGGGGCTTCGTCAGGCTCTGCTGATGCGGGGACCGAGCGGTCACGGAGCAATACCCCCCGATATTTGTCTCCGAGAGACCGCGTACAACCGGTGTATCCTTCTCCTGCACAGCAGGAGTTAAACGCGAGGCACAAATACCTTCCTCCTGCCCGGCAGTTAGCAGAGCTGACCTTGAGAGAGACACAAGCCCAGCCGTCTGCCCCCCCGCTTTCTTCTGAGTCAGATGAAGGAACGGAGCTGTTGAGAGTCTCTCCTCCATTACCTGATTCTAACAGAGAAGATGATGAATTGGCAGAGATGAGAAACTCTGGCCAGAAGCGTGGGTCTGCTTCTCGTAAATCTCGTAGTAGATCTAAGCTTGCTGCTCCCTGGACTTTACCTTCTTGTGAAGTGTCTGTGGTGCTGCTCAACCCTGCCCAGTTTTGGGAATCTGTCAAGGAAAAGGCACTGGAGATGTGTGATGGGAACTTAATAGAAAAACTAGGTCTGCCAGCAACAACCAATGCGCCGAGCGCTGATACAGATGTTGTTAGTAATGATCACACAGCCTTTCCTGCTCCCAAAGCAATTCCTAACACAGGACAGAATTATACACATAAAACATTTTCCTGGGGATTTGTTAAATCCCTTCTGTCAAAGGTCGCCCAATTTGGTGTTAATTCTCCTGAGGTAATGCAATTGGTTCATGTTATTAATGTTTATAGGGTTGCTCCATGTGATATAAGACACCTTGCTATGATTTTGTTTGAACCTGTACTGTATGATATATTTCAAGATATGTGGAGGGAGTTAGTCGAGAGTGCTGCCTTAAACAATATGAAACTCCCACAGCAACACCCCTGTCATGGGGTGGGAGTTGATGCCTTGATGGGCACTGGGCCTTTTGACGACCCACAGTTACAGGCCCAGTGGGATCCTTTGGTTTTGGCACAGGCTCAACAAATAGGCATCAGTGCTCTAATTAAAACAATGGAGCTTGCACCTCCGAAACAGAAATGTTTTACTCCCGAAGAGCAAGGACGGGGAATGGCACAATGCCCAAAAAATAATGAGCAAAAGATGAAAGCTAAAACAAATTTGAGCTGTAAGACTATTTGCAATCGCTGTGGTAAATCTGGACACTACACTAAACAATGCAAACAGAAAGCTGTTGCAGGGAAACTGGAAGAAGAGCACAAAGCAGTGTGGGGGGACAAATACGCCAACAACCACGAGTTCTCCCAGCACTGAAAAGCTGTCAATTTGTGGACAATATTCAGGGGCCATAAGGGGCTCCACAGAGGTAAATACATAGATATACCCACCATGTACACAGTAACTATTGCAATAAAGCAAATATGTAAAGTTCCTCTTGATGCCTATAGTCCCACAGGACACAGGCTGAGTGCTTTTTCGATATGGAGATCAAGCAGTATTATTAAAGGTATTTATGTACGTTTAGGGATTATTGATGCTGGTTACCTGGGACAAATTCATGATATGGTATCTGTTAGTGAACCCCCTATTATCATTCTGAAAGGTACTTGCATTGCTCAACTTGTTCCCTTTGTGAGTTGTGTTCCAAATACAGTGGACTGGAGTGGTGGCACAGTAGGTTTTGGATCTACAGGAGCACCTCGAGTATTTTGGACTCAGAAAGTGACAGAGAAATGTCTGGAAAGAACATGTGTCATCACAGCCAAGGGACATCATGCAGAGACTATAACAATAACAGGTTTGATTGACACCGGAGCAGATGTAACTATAATGTCGCAGCTTTACTGGCCTCAGACGTGGCCTCTTACACAAAAGGGTTCTGGAATTATTGAACGGGGTGGTTCAACTACAGGTGCTCTGTCTGCCATTGAGATTAATGTAAAACACCCTGATGACCAACAAGCCTAACATCAGGCCTTATGTTGTTTGTTCCCAAAATAATTTGGGGGGGGAGATTGCTTATCTCAGTGGGGTGTCAAAATCACTACGGATTTTTAGCAGGGGCCACTGGGATGCAGGGCCTTAAACATCCAGGCCCTGACATGGTCTGTCTGGGTCAGCCAGTGCCACCTCACTATTGAAAAGCTTGCTGCCCTGCAAGAATTGGTTGCAGAGCAGCTGCAAGCTGGACATATTGAAAAATCATTCAGCCCATGGAATACCCCCTTTCTTTTTATAAATAATAAATAAAATAAATCAGGGAAATGGAGACTTTTGCATGATTTGCGACAGGTAAATGCTTTAATGAGTTACCAGAATACCTGAATTTGGTAATTTTAAGTATGTTTATGTCACAGTTGACGCTTTCATGCAATGGTCACACTAGCATTTACAGGAGAAGCAGCTTGTGATGCTATTCATCATTTTTGTCATGCTTTTTCTATTTTAGGAGCTCCATCACACAGAAAGACAGATAATGGCCCTGCCGATGCTTCTCAAAAGCTGCAAATGGTTTTCTGTATTTGGGGCATTGATCATTCTACAGGTATCCCTCATGCCTCTACGGGCCAAGCAATCACTGAAACAGTTCATGGCATTTTTAAGCTCCAAAATGAAAAACAGAAAGGGGGAATGCAACAGGAACCCCCTCAAGTGAGATTAGATAAGGCAGTTTATGTCTTAAATTTTTAAAGTCCCTTGTCTCATTCACAGTTGTCTCCTATTTTCTATAATTTTTCCTCTCTGAATTCTAAACAATCAGACCTTGGTAGAAATACTAAGGTGTGGGTTAAAGATTTACTTACTGGAGTGTGGTCTGGTCCCATGGAATTAATAACTTGGGGAAGGGGATATGTTTGTGTTTTGACAGACAATGGCCCTGGTTGGGTTCCTGCTCTCTGTATTAAGCCTTACCTAGAGCATGCAAAATTGAACAGGATGGGTGGTCCTACAGCCAAAGCAGAGTGTGTGGATGACACTGGCTGAGACCATACATCAGGATATGTTGTGTTTGTGAATTTATCAGATTTTAACAAATTAAATCACAGGAGTGGTTTAGATTTTAAAGAAAGAGTTATTCACTTATGGGTGGATGAATAATGGGAATAGTTAAGTAGTTTCTTTGTAGGGTGGGGCATCACTGTATGGTTAAAAGCATGGCTAAGAATCAGATTGTCAGTTTTGCTGGTGATTATAATTGTTGTTTTGTATCTCCCTTGTTTGCCTGGATTTCTGCAAAGGGCCCTGCAGAAATCCTTGGCAGCTGTGTTTGCTCAAATACAAAGAAAACGGGCAACTGTGGCTGAGGGTCAGATGAAAGAGTTAACAGAAAGAAGAAGCCAGCAGGATTCCTGTGTGTCAGTGAGAAGAAGAGAAAGAAGATAAAGGTAGAGGAAAACAAAGAACATCAGTGCTGTGAGAAACACCATGGAAAAACAACATCTATCTGTATTTTGGATTTTTGAGGATACTTTCTCAAGACGGTGCTTTCACCAATGGACTTGAGGGGTGGTGTGGTGATGGCCAATGGAATGGGGTGCACCACGGGGTGAGAAGGGGATAAAAACGCCGTATGCAGGCACAATAAAGGCTGAAGGATGAAGTTTCTTATGGATCTGCTTTCTGTCACGACTGCTCCCACAGTGACGCTGTGGCCCCTCTACTAATTAGGTATTTTCAGAAGTTCACAATATATAGTGGAAATTTAGGATTATTCAGATGCAGTTTGAAAGTGATAATGGCTTTGATCTGCATCTATGGTGGTATGTCAATATCCAAGAATATCCAAGAATGACAGGGAGTGACTCAGAAAGCCTGCATTTTGAGCCTAATTAGTAACTATGTAATAAAGTCTGGTAGTTTACAAAGTCGGCCCAGAGGGTCTAGTTTCTTAGTATTTAATGGTTATACTACAACTAGTGACAGATAAATGCAGAAAAAGTCAGATAAGTAAAAAAAAAAATCTCAATCATCACATGTTTTCTTATTTGCAAGGAGAACTTAAAGCAGTCATGGGGAGAAGCTAGGCAAGTCACTGTAAAAAAATCACTTATACAATAGAATTATAAAGACAAATGGGAAAGATAAAGATGTTAGGAAGTACTTCTAAGTTATATTTATCACAGGGCTATTTGCAAGAGGTTAAGGAAAATGTCACTTGTCGCTACATAAATTCTTTTATTTTATACTCTGCTGTACTCAGCTCTCCTGCGAAAAAAATAACCCCAACCCCCAAAAACCAGAGGCTGAGCGCCATCAAGTGGTAGATCTTACTATAGCAATGCTTTTTATTAATGGATTAGTATCCATTTAGTAACTTCAATTCCCTCCTTACTAGAAAATTCCAGAAAGATTTCTATCCGTCGGTTACAACGCATTACATCTACTAATTTCCTGAAGACCCTGATATTGATGAAAATATTAAACAATATCTGTATTGTAACTATATCTGCATCAACACGTGCAACACTGAAACCTGCAATAGTAAGGTTTTGCTCACATATAACGTTATTGAAAATTCCGAAAACCATAAATTAAGGAAAGCACCACCTTAAAAAAGAACCCAATACCCCCAGCAATATAAAACCATTTACAGATACATTTCAGTTAGTAAATGTTCATTAATGCAGCAAACCCAGAGTAGTATTTTATGAAAATAACTAATAATTTTAACAATAATTAGACAGCCTCTAAAACCCAAAAACCTTGAAAAACGAAAATAAACCCAAACCAAAAAAAACGTTTAAGTTAAGGATTGCACAATAACTCTACGGTTTCTTACTTGACTATACAGCTCTTTTATTGAAAATGTGGCTGGCTCTTAAAAGAGCCTTTGGGTTAAATGGTATTTTGAGCAGGCGTTTACTTGGAGCTGGTGTACTTGGTGACAGCCTTGGTGCCCTCGGACACGGCGTGCTTGGCCAGCTCGCCGGGCAGCAGCAGCCGCACGGCCGTCTGGATCTCCCGCGACGTGATGGTGGAGCGCTTGTTGTAGTGCGCCAGGCGCGACGCCTCGCCGGCGATGCGCTCGAAGATGTCGTTCACGAAGGAGTTCATGATGCCCATGGCCTTGGACGAGATGCCCGTGTCGGGGTGCACCTGCTTCAGCACCTTGTACACGTAGATGGAGTAGCTCTCCTTGCGGCTCTTCTTGCGCTTCTTGTCGCCTTTCTTCTGCGTCTTGGTCACCGCCTTCTTGGAGCCCTTCTTGGGCGCGGGGGCGGACTTGGCCGGCTCGGGCATGGCAGCAATGGTTTGAATCCCGGAAACACGGAAGTGCTCGGAGACCAACCCAGAGCAGAAGTGAGGAGCGCGGCTGTGCGCCATTTATTTATAGCTGCTCTATGCAAATGAGCGGCATTGACCGCGCGCACCCTCATTGGTCAAATCTAGAAAAAGATGTCATCGCTCCCAAGCACTCGCGTTTGATTGGTCAGAATTGGATTCGCCTTCTCATTGGCTCCCTGTACAAGACCTACTTCTCAGCCTATCAGCGAAGGGACGAGAGAGTAAAGCGAGAGCGGAGCTGGGGAGCGCCGAGTGCCTGCTCCGCTGTGCTGTGCGTTCCTGTCCGCGGGGAGCGAGCGAGTGAGGCGAGATGTCCGGGCGCGGGAAGCAGGGCGGGAAGGCGCGCGCCAAGGCCAAGTCGCGCTCGTCGCGGGCCGGGCTGCAGTTCCCCGTGGGCCGCGTGCACCGGCTGCTGCGCAAGGGCAACTACGCGGAGCGCGTGGGCGCCGGCGCCCCGGTGTACCTGGCGGCCGTGCTGGAGTACCTGACGGCCGAGATCCTGGAGCTGGCGGGCAACGCGGCCCGCGACAACAAGAAGACGCGCATCATCCCCCGCCACCTGCAGCTCGCCATCCGCAACGACGAGGAGCTCAACAAGCTGCTGGGCAAGGTGACCATCGCGCAGGGTGGCGTGCTGCCCAACATCCAGGCCGTGCTGCTGCCCAAGAAGACCGACAGCCACAAGGCTAAAGCCAAGTGAGCACCGAAGAATAAAGGCTGCAGACCTTCAACCAGAGAAACCCAAAGGCTCTTTTCAGAGCCACCCACAAGGTCCTAAGAGAGCTGAGTTATCTAAACGACAGTGAAAGCCCTTTTGTATTAACTACTCAACCCGTGTTTTAACTTATTTTTTATTTTTGGTTGGATGTAGTAGCGACGTTTTCCATATTTTCGTTAACAAAGTCGTGTCAAAACGTCCTCCTCCCCATGCAAGTTCTTCCAGGTATGAGATATTTTCCGTTTGAGATCTTTCGGAGAACATAGGGGACACTGTTCGTTGAGAGTTCCTGTCCCTCCCCCCTTTTCCGCCTCTTTCTTCTCCGAGTGGCTGATACAGTTCCAGCGATAAGAGGCGTAATCGTTCTTCGGGGAAGGGAGGGGGAAGGGCAGCGGGCCGGGATTTCCGCTGGCCAATCCTTGAGCAGGGCGGGCTTTTTCAACACTTAAAGCTCTTTCTCATCGGGAACAAAAGGACTGGGAGAGATCCGGGCTATTTTTTTGTCAGTGAAGAAACCCTCCCTTCCTCCCCCCAAAGAGACAAAGGCATTTACGGAGATACTTTATAAGAAATTCAATAGATTAGACGTGGCTCAGTAGTAGCGTGCCTGGCAATTGCATTATTTTGTTAAAAAATATATATTTAAAAAAAAAACATACATCCGATTTTTTTGTATCAAATCATTACAAAACATCGTTTCTCGGTAGTCAAAGTAATCACCCGGAGGAAAGACAAAAGTCTACACTTCCCTAAAGCCGCCGCGCTCTACCGCGTTCTTTAGGCTCTCTTTCGGTAATGCTAGGGAACAAAAAACACAAGACACAATTGATCTCTTGACGACTTACGAATTGGTGGACCCTTGCTGCAGGTTACGGACGACCTCGGTGCATCAGCTCCTTCAGGGAAAGTGTGGGTGGCTCTTAAAAGAGCCGTTGGATAACAAAGTATGTAGAACAAAACTCTCCAGGTACAATTTACTTCTTTTTGGGCGCCGCCTTCTTTGCCTTGGCCGCTTTGGGTTTGGCCGCCTTGGGCTTGGCCGCTTTGGGCTTCACCGCCTTCGCCTTAGCCGGGCTCTTCGCTGCCTTCTTGGGGCGGCCTGCCTTTGCGGCTTTCTTGGGACTCTTGGCCGCTTTCTTGGCAGCTGCAGCCGCCGGCTTCTTCGCCTTTTTGGGGCTCTTCTTCACCGCCGCCGCCTTCTTGGGCTTCTTGGCAGCGCTGGCGGGCTTCTTAGCCGCCGGCTTCTTCGGCTTGGCCGCAGCTGCTCTCTTCTTGGGGGCTTTTTCTTTTACTTCTCCTGGTTTCTTGTTCAGACGAAAAGAGCCGGAGGCGCCGGTGCCCTTGGTCTGCACCAGGGTGCCCTTGCTGACGAGGCTCTTGAGCCCCAGCTTGATGCGGCTGTTGTTCTTCTCCACATCGTAGCCGCCGGCGGCCAGCGCCTTCTTGAGCGCGGCGAGGGAGAGCCCCTTGCGCTCCTTGGAGGCGGACACGGCCTTGGTGATGAGCTCGGTGACGCTGGGCCCCGCGGGCTTGCGGGCTTTGGAGCCGCTCGCCGCCTTCTTCGGCTTCTTGGCGGCGGCCTTGGCGCCCGGCGCGGGCGCATCGGGGGCGGCGGTGGGAGCGGTCTCGGACATCGCGGCGACTTCCTCTGCGGAGCGGGCGAACACAATTGGGCTGGCCTGGGTCAGATGCTCGTATTTTTAGAGCGGAGCCGCGCGGTGATTGGTGGCTTGCAGAGCCCGCCCCGCTGCACGGCCGGGGAGCCCTTCGGTGTGCTCGATTTGTGTTTCTTTGGACTAACAAAAGTGTATTTTCCTCGGAATTTCTGCCACCAAATCGCCCGATTTCCCCGGTGAGGGGGGAGAAGAGCAGGTACTTGCGTTCGGGAGAGTTTCCTGCGGCAAACACGCGATTTGAGTTAAAGGAGAGGCGATAAATCCCGTGTGCTGCTGCTGGAGAGACCTCTGAAGGGAGAAACTTTTGTTTTTCCTTGCAAATTAAAAATTTCCTTTTGACATAAATGCCACAGCAACGACTCAGTCTTATTCTTTAGAGGGTTTTCTTGGGGTCGAAGTTGAAATCTGACGATTTGAAGCTATTTCGAAAGTTTAAATTGATTTTGAAGAGGAGGAAGTAACACAAACTCCTTTTTCAGCTCTGAATATGGATTAAGAACCGGTTCCTTTGACCATGTGTTTTACCTACTAAAACGCTAAAGTCTAGTGAAATAGTGTCTCGTACAACCTCCTATTCCGTTTTTTATAGAAACATAAGCGATTTTGTTATTATCTGGAGCTTTATGAACATACGGTTGGTTTATTTTGTCTTCCTGGAATTTCAGTACAAGGGAGGCAAAGTTACTCTGCTGCCCTATGTGGGGTGTTTTCTTTTTGTTTGTTTTCCATACGAATTTTTCTATCTATTATTAAGTAAATCAAGCTATTTGCTTACCGTGTTCCATTTTATTTTGAAGTATATAGTCATTTAAAACCTTAGGTTACAAAACTGCAGCTTTGTAAAAGAAAGCAATCTCCTAAACTTCTGTTGTTTATGGAAGTTATCTTTATCTCTGGTAATTTAAGATTTGCAAGGACTAGCATTGCAGTTTAGTAATCATGCTCTTCATTACCAAATAATATTATCTTCTTTTATATTTTCTTTAAAAGTAGTAGAATTTTAAACCATGTTACTGTTTGGGTTTTTTAATGTGCCTCACACAATATGGCTACACAAAGGTTTAGCTAAAGCCTCTAAATTCTGAATCCTCTTCTCACTCTAAATAAAACCCACCTAATTATTACATGTGCATTTTACAGCAATCACTGGAATAAGGAAATACTTTTATGACAGAAACTAGAGCACTTTGTGATAACCTGAGTTTTAACAAGGGGAGAGGTAGGCCGTAGGTCATTCCTAAAGAACTAGGAAGGACTCAATCAATACTGATACCTGCTGGAAGATGGTGTAATATGCTGAACAGAACAGAGCTCTGGATTAATATTTCATTAATCTGTAACTGATTGTGGAAAAAAAAAAGTATATTATCCATTGCCTTTTGTAGTTGTTTAGGAATCACAAAGACTACACTACAGCAAGCCCTTTTGTATTGGCTGATATAACATATCCGAATACAGTATTTAAGTACATATTAGCAACCAGTAATTCAGACTGCATGAGTATGTAGTTATAATTCTATTTTTGTGTCATGGTTTCATTTATTAGGGCTGTTTTATAAATGCTAAAATATATAAGATGAGAGATTTAGCTTGCTGTAAAATTGTGGTTTAGGGAATGTGAAATGGTGAATAAATGCAATGAAGCGAAAAATTGTGACCTCCACCCCATAATGATAAAATACCATAAAAAAGGTTCAGTAAAACTGCACCTGAGCTCTGTATTGCTTTAACCGGAAAATAATTGAGAAGAGCTAATCAAATTGTGACTTTCAAGGTCCTGTTTGGCAACACTATGTAAGACAAGGTGAAGATACAGGGATTAAATGGAGTGGATGTGGGTATTGCAGATACACCTTCATATACTGCCAAATGGAAGTAAAATGTTTTGCAGCCTTTATTTTCTATATGTAAAACTATGAATTAACCTTTACATTTATTTGGCTGCTTAGTGTATGAAGGTAGCAATTGCTGGGAAGATATGAAATTTAGCAGTTGCCTAGGGGCTTCATTGCATATAGACACAGGAAAAGCACAGACTGTGAGTGACATGTCAGCAAAATGAAAATTTCCTTTTTGCTTATTCTTGTTATTTTGAACTCATTCACTTCAGTAATCTTCACTGAAAGAAAGGTAAATATTCCAGCTCTCATTTGTGGCTGCACAGAGGCTTCATTCACATTTGCTGGTGGCAAAATTGAGGTGGCTAAAATGGTCACTATCCCAGTTTTCTGCCTGGCTTTTCTCCCAGCAGCTGCTACCCTTTCCTCATTTCCAAAAAGGACTGCTAAGCATATATATATGTCAGCTTCTGGTCTCCACTTATAATCTAGTAAGTTAAACTGAATTAACTTCAGAAATTTAATGACAGAGAAGCTATGTTTTCTCTTTATTTTATGGTTTTGCATTGAAGAGATAAACCAATTTTACTGATGTAGAATTGCTGCTTGGAACACATATTCTTCTTTGTTTGAAAGAAATACATGCAATAACAATATTTTGGAAAGTTAAGGTGTATTTGGCAATTTTAAAAAGAGCTGCTCTGCAGTCAGAACAGATAGTTAAAAAACAATGAACAGATGTACTCAGGCAGAGAAAACAATGTGGGGAAAGATTACCTAAAAGGCAGAAGTGGTTTTACCTCCAGCTGAGCAAGTGAAGAAGAAATATAATCCTGTTTTACATATAGGATATTTTGGAAAAATATCATCGAGAAGAGACTACATAGAATGCTACATGCAGTTTGGTTTTCCCAGTGAGACTTGAGGAAGGCAGAATTCATTATTTAATAAGAGAAGGAAAGTAATATCTGGATCTCCAGAGATGCTTCTGGAGAAGGCACCACTGTAAGGTCTACTTCATCCTAATTACTTCACTCCTTCTCACCTTCTGGGCACCCCAGCAGGCCACACTTCATCACAAACCTGCAATCTGAGCCCTCCCTGCAAGTTGCTTCCCTTTGGATACCCAAATCTGTCTGACTTTTGCAGTTATCATTAAGACCTCCTGCCATAAGCAAGGAAGCAGAGGAACCACAGCCAAGGGCTGGCACTACACCTGAGAACTATCAAGCGTTCCCATCTGCAGTTTAGGACCTGCCAATACTTGTTCCTATGAAAATAAGCTGTGGGTTATATTTAGGTATGTCTGCATTAAGGAGAGGTTGCACAGTAGCTGTTCCCAAGCAATTTTGTTGGGAGGCATTAGCATGAGAGCCAGCCACACAAATGTGGCTACTGGGCTGCTCTGCCTGCTGTAGCTCAGTGCTGTGGTCAGTCATTCTTAGACAGCTGGAGGAAGCACAGCTGTTACACCAGAGCCCCTCTCCTTGCTTCAGATGGCAATTTCCAGTGAGATTTAGGTGAGGG